CTCCTTACTACACTTTTGACCAGAGCAGCTAGGCTAAGGAAAAAAACACACAAAAAAGTAATGATGCAACCTAACGGGCAAGGCATGCTGCAAGTCAACAGTGAACCACAGTGGACCGCAAGACATGCCTAAATGTGTATGTGCACAGCCAAGGTTGTAATCACACACATGGGAGTACATCTTTAAATAACGGAGGTAAAGTTATGCAACAGAGTCACAATGTAATTCACAAAGCGATGCACTTTTTAAAAATGCATATACCTTACAAATGCGCTTTTGAATATAAAAAAAAATATATATAAAAGCACATTTCTTTGCAAACCATTGTAGTGCAGTATGCACATCTCTTTCACGAGCCGTGAAGCAGCGACAGAGAAATCTCAACGCTGCTGCGGGGGGCTCGGATGCTGCCGTGGTTTAACGGTGATCAGCACGCAGAAACCGGAATCCAGAGGTCGCCGGTTTGGTCCGATCTCCCAGCGCAACAGTTGATGCAACGGGGCACGTTTGGTAAATCCCTCGGCCTCTGTCCACCCAGCAGTATAAATGGATGCACCCACAGTTGGTTAATTGGCAGGTAGTGTGTTGGTGGGATAAAGTGTGGCTACTCCCACTTCTTCCATGACATAGGGCATGTGAAAGAGTAGGCCAAATACCATACTCTGTGGCTCTACAAAGGGCGACAATTGTACGCTCTGCACAAAGTCATGGGCTGAGATGATCGTGACTGGGATTTTAACTCATAAACGTGAGTGAGCTGAGCATACTATCCACAGATGATGTGGTTTACCATGGTAATGAGATAAAAATGTAATAATGAAACCCAATGCAACTTCCAATATTTTATAATTATTAGTACAATTGGAATTGGTGTCACTCTAATAAGCATCATCAACACGCTATGATTCACAGACGTAGAGTCTGCTAGTGGGGGGAGGGGGTGGTAGGGGGGGGGTCGTGATGTTGCCATGTGGTTTACACAATTAGTTAATTAGGTAATTTGCAGGTAATTGAAAAATTCGCTAAAACCATGTAATAGCAATATTAAACAATTACTTAAAAGTAATATCACACAATTTCGTTACTGCATACTATTACATGTTTAATTTACGATAAAAACATATCTTTGAGCTCTTAGGTACTGTATTTATATTTCATGTCCATGGGGTGCGTGTGGCATATCTGAATGCACAGAGTGGAGCGGTAGCGTAACGGTTAGCGCACTGCGCTACAAACCCAGCGACCCGGGTTCGATTCCCGCTCACAGACAACACCAGTGACGATTATCTGAACCGGTCCTGGGCCTCCCCTAGGTCGACTCATACACATACATTTGTACGGTTGGCTATGTACGGTGAAAAGTAAGTTCAACATACATACTCAGCCTCAAATGAGTACCTGGTGCGGTGTGTAAACATCGCCGCTGGGGAGACAAAGGCGGCCGGGCGTGGTGCTGGCCATCCACCCCTTTCGTGTGCAGTGCCGGCTTTCATAGGTGCTCACTAACAGCACTTGCCCCAAAAGTCTGTTGAGGCTACACGGGGGATCTTTGTCGAGTGTGTCGGCGCACGTCATCAAAGATCCCAGTTGAAGGCAGAGGAGCGCTGTGTCTGCTCTGCGAGAAACGCACGGTACTGATAATTCACTGCCACCAAATACCACTGTACAGATTCGTTCCTCGGTTGCATTCACAATAATTATCACAGTATAAATTAACACGTTTTCAGAATGCGTTGTGATTTCGTGCAATGCTAAATGGACATCATGAAGAAGGCTTCCGCGGACGGTGGCACTGATGCTGTAAAAATAATCATTGGGAGGGCCGCAAACTGAGTAATGAGGGCAATCGTTCAAAGGTTCACTGAAATTAAAATTCTGAAATGAAGAGGCGAACGACAGAAGAGCTTGCTGACGCAAAAGCTGATTTTGGATAACAAAAATCTACACACCAATGTGCCCGATGCAGACAGTTGATCAGAAACAGACACTGACAAAGGAAAATGGAACAAAAGCTAAAAAGTACGCAGATAAGGACAGATTTATGCTTAGAATTACGACTGAAAGACAGAGAAAGGATGACACGTCGATGAGATGAGTTCCTGTTCGCGAGCGAGATGGATATTGGCATCACAAGGACACCAAAGGCCTTTATTCCGCAGTAAATGCAGCATGACTAATGATGATGAATTTATATTTTATATACACAAATCCTTAAATGTTATTCATATCTGTTACATCTGATGAATACGCGACAATTGTAGAATACAAACATTTTCAATACATTACTAAGCCAATGTTCTTTGGTGTTGAGTGGCGACAGTGTAAGCGCATTGTGCCCTGAAATTGGTGGCCTGAGTTTTATTCGCGGTCACAGCTAAAATAAGTGTCAAATTTTACCTAAAACGATCATTATTTTACCAGATAAGTCCCACTGAGCTATATAGCTCTTTTTCAGAAGCGACCTGGCCACAAATGATAGCTCAACGAAGTGGCTTATCACGTGGGAACTTATAGCAGCCAAATACTCTAAACGCGCGATTCTATACGTGGAGGAAAACAACAGAGGTCCCGGAGAAAAATCCACGTGACCACAGGGAGAACAAGCAAACTCCAAATATACAGCAGGCGTCAGGGTCAGGATAGAACCCAGGACTTCCTAAATACCAGGCGAGGGAGTTAACATCACACCACTGCAGCGCCCCTCTCATCGACGTGTCAAGTGATATCTGAACTAATTCTGGCACTACCCTTCTTTAATCCGCACTGATCAGTATAGTGAAGTATGGTCAAACAACCCCTATGACTAAAAGGCATTTACATTAAAAAAAATTCACCATTCAGGTGTAGGGCTCAAGCTATAATGAAATAAAATATTTCAAAATACTTTTTTTTTAAAACACGCTTTAATGAAATGTCCTGTCCGAGCTGCCCCTCCCCCTGCCCCCTTCCCCCATCGCCCCTCCCCTCCTTCCACATCCCCCGCCCCTCGGCGTGGCTCCTCGAGGCTTGCCGTGATGTAAGGGACCGTGGTGATTTACAGCCAACGTGAGTTGAGCGTGGACAATTAGAGCCGTAAAAAAGATCGTTTAAAAATATATATTTAAATTTTCAATGATAGAATATGGCATTGTCATCAGTATGACACACCTATACCAAGTTTGCAGTCGATACGACATTGAGAAGACGGTTGAAATTGAGTTACAAGATTTGAGGATACAACAGAGTGAGTTAAATAAAAAAGCGTGTAAATTGTTTAAAAATATATATTCTTAGATTTTAATGATAGAATATAGTCTTGTCATCAGTGTGACATAAGTATAACACGTTTGCAGTCGATAGCACATTGGGAAGTGGGTATAATTTGAGTTAGAAGATTTTTTGAGGATACGACAACAGACGGAGTGAGTTAAATAAAAGTGTGTAAAAAAATCTGCTTATCTCCATAATCCCTAACTCTACAATTCTACACATTTCAGACTTGTTTTGGATTTTTTTGTTTTAAATCAGTCTTCTTCATAAATATTACAGTAAATCTGCGCGGTATTTTTTTTCCCCACACGAAAAATTGAGTACTATTTCTTCATACTATTGTATTGATGTTTCTCATTCGAATGGAACAATCTCTAAACATTTTAAGTAGTTACCAACCAAACTTAAAAAAACACGAGGGCAGATTTAAGGGCTTATTTGACGTTATCGTTAACATAAAACAACAAACACGAGGCAATGAAAAAATGTTCTGGTTTTTTTCATGAACACAACGGCAGGTGAAATCTCGTTTGATCATACAAATGTAAAAGCGTATTGTGGCTGTTCGAGTGTTTGTCATTCTTGTGGTTACAATGACACCGATGGTCACTCAACGAACAATTCGGGAGGTGTTGAAATCCACAATTTCCGAATGTCCTTTAATTACATTCACGGGAGCTCAATGATGTTCGTAATTTATTTAAATCCTCTAACTGTAACGTCCCGTGTTGATGCATTTTTGATCGATGCGTTTACACGTATGTGGATTATCCATGGATAAGTCTATTTACAATCAAATGAGCGAAAGGCAATAACCCTATCGATACTGGCAACCCTGGAGTCAGGAGTAAAAATTCCACATTCCATGAGACAACCACAGATAAAAAAAATTAAGGATATTTTCATTCTAACAATAAACATTTTTGTATGCAGAGGAGATAAGTTTGGTGCATTCCTGTAGCCCACAAAAATGTATAAACAGTGTTTTACACAGGACTAAAAACACGTGTTCAGAATGTTTGTGGCAAACTAAATCAGGCATATATTTTAACCTCCCCTTTTGTGTTATTTAAACTATTCAAATATAAACACAGCATCAAAGAGCGCATCCCGGTCGTTTGTAGCCTCGGCTAAAAAACAAGTTTCACTTGATACTTAAGGAAGACTTATTTACATCTGCATAAATTTGTCACTCATCTTCCCATATTTTTTTTGTAGCAGTCATTAATTGGCAATGTATGTTGAACTTCTTTCGCACCGTACGTAGCGAAATAAAAAAAAGTTATTTAATCTGGCTGTGTGGTAATGTGGTTAGATTACTGGACAATTGCAAGGTTGGGACTTTAATCCTAGTTGGGAGTGAACTCAGCTCATTATCTGTTTGGGGTCTATAAAATTCATATCGCTTGGTAGAAAATCAGAACAGTTGTGCTATAAGACCCGGCCTCCTTCATGGGAATGTGGAATTGTAGCCACTGGATCAGGGCCACATTTCTCATTCATTTGCGCAGGTGGACACCGACTTTGATCTCAAGAGGCTAACTCCAGAATGCTTGAAAAAAATTACACCCTCCATATGTTGAAGGGTTATCATATTTCTGGGGTCACAATACGATTAAATAAAGTATTATTATCTTAACCAGGTAGTGCTCAGAGTATCTATGTACATGGTTTTTATGATAATCACCCAAAACATACTTCATATGAATTGCTGCCAAGGCCGCCGCACACAATAAAACAAACCAACACACCTGATGTGTCTTGGCAATGTTTGGTCCCGTCTTTTCACGCTCCTCGTACTTCTCCAACTTGGCCTGGAGTTTCTTGCATTCCTGCAGGGCCTGCTCCCGGCGCTTGACTGCCACGTTCAGGCTCGGGAACACGCTGCTGAACCTAACCAGTCACAGGGAGGACCAGAAAGAGCATGGATTAAAACCACAGGAGGCTTGGGGCAATGGCTGAATTCGGACTGACAATAAAACACACGTACAAACACCAAATATGGTAGCTGTGGTGCTCATTAAAACCATGGGGACCAGTTTATGCATATATATGTTAAACTTCTTTCGCATTGTACGTAGCCAACCATGCTCATTGGAGGTGCAGGGGAAGGACAACAAACTAAACACAAAAAGTAGTTTTAAAGAACTGAATTCAAAAGCATAACAGACAGTATGTCTGCATAACATGATACCAATCTTATCAATGCTGGAGAGATTACTTTTGTTGACTCCCTCCACTAGGATTTGAACTCAGATCACGCCATACCAATGTGGAATTTTCACCAACGCCTCCGCCACTTCTGGTCGCGATAATGCACTCCTGTGACCTTGCCTCTGAGTGGCTCAGAGGCAGGTTAGAAGTGTCGAGTGTTATTCCATTGCAAATGCATAGACTAGGTTTTTGTACCCTGGTATAAACCTCTTCTTGAGTCAAAGCCACCATCCCCACAAGAGGCTTCTTTATCATATGTGAATTTATATTTCTAATACATATATTTTTTTTATAAATAAGATACTCCTGTGATCGCCGTAGACAGTGGCGTTGATGAAGAATAATATAACCCGTAAAAACAAAGTTTTTCACTATAAATCCTTTATATGCGTGGCGGCTAGAGTCCTCTCGTCCTCTGGCTTGAGATGGCTGCCACCTATGGGTCAGATGATTGCCTGCCACCATTAAGCAATTGGTAATTAAATATAATTTATTTTTTCCTAAAAAGTATAACATTTTGGAAAAAATGTTTCACGAAAATAAATTGTCACGCACAACGAGTCTGTGTGCAAAATGTCAGCTCGATTGGATCCCGGGAAGTGGGTTAAAAAACGACCAAAAGATTTGCACGGTCGTAAGCGCGCAAGCAAGCAAGCAAGTGAACTTAATATAAAGGATTTAAAAATAAGGTTTCACTTCGCAGCAAGGGGGTAGCAGTATCACGTGTTGCACTCTTGAGCACATTACAGCTCTGGCAGCAGACGCAACATACAAACTCTGCCATCAACAGTACTGGTCGGAATGAAATGTAGACCTTGGCGTTCTACCATAACATAGGGACTAAAACTGTGCACAGCAGTGTTATTCTTTCTGAAACCTGCACACCGTGTAACGTGTGTGACGGAATGAGCTCAAAATAATTGTCCACAAGCGCAAATCGTCGAATTGGTCCCAAGGCCATTCAGATGAACACAATATTCTGCAATTTACTACCTTGGTAAAACGTCAGCAACACGAAACATGGTATTGAGCGCAGGAGATGGAAAAACCGAGTAAATTGTTATATAAATGAGCACATTTTGGGTATGTAGGAATACACGTGCAAAGTACAAGCATTCTTTAATTAACAATTTGCCTGATTTGACAAGAAGAATAAAAACATTATGGAGGTGCAACGTTATCGTGGTAGTTGAATGTTTTATATGGTTGTGATGGTATTTATATGGTTAAGACGTATGTATGTTGAAATTCTTTCGCAATGTACATAGCCGACAGAGCTAATTAGAGGGACGTGGAAAGACAACAATTAAAAAAAAACATCTGCTTCTAATTATCCGGGTAAAATTTACTAATGTGATCTTGTGAACTGCGCACTTTTTTGTTTTGTCAATTTTAGTATCAACATAAGTAAGATAACTAGATTTTTTTTTTTACATAACGAGATCAACTTTGGCATATTCAGAAGCTGGCGGTGAAAATGCTGCAAGGGAAAGCGCCGCAAACACCTTTCACACCAAAACACACACACGAGCAACATATTTCAACATTCATGTGTGGGATATTTTAAGTTTAAACTAAATTATTCATCAAGATATGCTGGGGCTGTAATCCTGTTACATTCATAAGGACGGAGCCATGCAACAGCGAGGTTTCCTTTTTTAACCGGCTAGACGAGAAACCGAACCGATGAACACAGCTTCCTACACCCCTTTCTCCACCTCTGTCCACCCAGCAGGAAAAACGAGCGCACCACAGTTCATTGATCGGCAGGTCGTGTGTGGTGGTTTAATACATTCATGCGGAAAGAGCTGGTAGGAACGTTGGGTTGCTCGGTCAATGGCCAGGGTCAACGGCGGCGTGGTGTATTCCGCAAATATGCCCGACTGTGAGGGCGGGCACAAGCCGGAGTGAGTAGGTTAAACGTTGAGTTTTATAAGGGCACCACGGGGTGACCAGCCTCTCCCCACCCAACCCCTCCCCACCCAGCCCCACCCTCCCCACCCAGCCCCTCCCTCCCCACTCAGCCCCTCCCAGCACGACGGACGGACACAATACTCCCCTGTGGGCTGGTGTAACCAGGAGGTTCCTACCAGGAAAATTGTGGCTCCTCACACATCTTCCAGGAGGTCTGGCTAGCATGGAAAGAACTGACCACTGTCACCAGAGCGGATCTCTCTGTCTGTCGGTGATTGTCAACCTGGTTTCAAGGCTGATGGAGGGAACTCTAATAGCTCTGTCGAGCAGAGGCTCTTCCACCAGCAGTGGAGTTGGCAAGCGATTGCATGGCTGCACCTTGCATCCCTCCTTTGAACACTTTTTTGCAGCGATTTAAAGTGAACGTTTTGATGACCTCATTCGTGACATCAACCGACACTTCTTAAAGGGACGTAAGAGGTAAAACAGGAAATTCCACACAAGGTAATAAGCCTTTCTTATCTGCGTCTTGTAAAGCGGGAAATAAATACACAACTCTCATTCATTGCCATTAAAATGAAGGATGTTTGTCGCTACGTTTTCACCACCTGTCTGTAGGTGGTTGCCAACCAAGTTTAAAGGCTGAAGTAATAAGCGTTAAGAATTTAATAAAGTCGAAAGAGCATCTCAGCGCAGCCTATTTGTCCAACTTCAAAATTCCTCATTCGAATCTTTATTCGTACAAGACCTTCGCTGCGAAAGAAAGAACTCAACACTAAAAATCAACGAGCGAGATTTGTCAAACTGTTAAAACAGACCACCGTGATTCGTTATAACGGTGCTTTTGAAAAAAAAATGCCTGGCAAACAGCTAGAGGAGCAGCAGCGGCAGAAGCAGGAGGATTAAAACAGTCTTTATCATTGATCTACAACAAACAGTGCCGTGCAGCACACTTTGCCTTCATAAATTATGTAACCGTCCGCTGCACCGCTCCAAATTAGTCAGCACCACGCTATAATGGCTCTGACCCCCCCCCCCCACCAAAAAAAAAACGTAAAGTGAGACTGCAAAAGCAACAGGCTACCATGTGGAAGTAGTTTTGACGCCCCCACAGTCATGTTCTCACACACGGGCCCCCCCCCCTCCTCTCTTCCCATCCTCGGCCAAACGCCCCTGGGGCTGTATGCTTCAGCTGTCGTTTCCTCCGCGCTCCCCATGAACCGGGGATAGCCGCCTCCGCACACCGGTCTCGTCTCGACTGCCCTGCACTCTCGACTGCCCCTGCCCAAGGCTGCCCTATCCAAGGCTGCCCTACCCAAGGCTGCCCTACCCAAGGCTGCCCTATCCAAGGCTGCCCTACCCAAGGCACTCCTGTTCATTAATGGTGGCCATTAGACACAGTTTTTTTTTTGCTACGTTGATAAGGATTGTTGTATGTGCGAACTTCTTTCGCACCGTACGTAGCCAACCGTGCTAATAGGACAACAAACTAAACACAAAAAGCGGTTCTAAAGGAAATGATTTGGCTAGAGCCAAAAGTCGCTGCGAGAATGACTGGAGTTCGTGTGAAGGTTTATGCTCCTTGACGAAACCAGCAAGGTATTGTGGTTCATTTGCGGCAAGCACTTTATGTGCAATGAGAGGCTGTCCATAAATGACGTCATGCGATTTTGGACGATTTTTGAACCCCCCCCTCCTCGTCACACGGCGTCACAAAAAGTCAGACCCCGTCTCAAATATGACGTCACAAAGCTCTGCCCCCCCCCCCCCAAATAAAACATGCTTCAAATTGCTTTAAACTTCTAGATTTGAAACTTTCGTGACTGCAAGGATTCATAATTTTAGGTTCTTTCAGTAAAGTCACGTAGGTAAAAAGAAATAATAAAAATAATAGAATAACAGAATTATTTTATTTATATTATTATTTCTATTATTTTCAATATTCGATGTTTAAAATTATAATTTTATTTCTATAACTATTTCTATAATTTTAATTATTTATTTTTACATACGTGACTTTACCGAAAAAACCTAACTATTGTCATTGTAGTGCGTATTTAATGTGGCGCTGCACTCTGATGTTGTAGGAGAAAACATTGATTAAAAAGTCTATTTAATTAAAAGAACGTGTTGTCTATATTTATTTAAAGTTACGCATTTTGATGTGACGTCACATTTCTCAAACCCCCCCTCGTCACACATCGTCACAAATGTCTGACCCCCCCACCCCCAGGTGCGTGACGTCATTTATGGACGGCCCCTGAGAGCGACCTTATATATTCGTTCAGTAACTGGAAGCCAATGCAACTTGGCGAGCAGCGGACGGACACGGCCCGATCTATCTAAATCACCTATACTGCAGTACGAGGTGATGGTACTTGAGTGTTTTTATAAACTTTTATTGTCTGTTTATATTATTCGTAATCTTTGACGCTTAATATCTTCGGATCTACCAAGCCTAAAGAGCTGAAATTTTCAACACACACTCGTCGCCTCCTCGTGTGATAATTCAAAATTTCATTAAAAAAAACGGTCCAGGTCCCGCCCATCGTGGTCCTTTTCGTGTTTTTAACAAAATGTTACTCATTATTAAGCGTACATTTTACCCCCCATTTTTAAAATCGCAAATGGTCACGCCCACCTACAACGGCAAACGGCTGGACCAATCACAGCGGCTGTTGCTGTCCAGCCTATGGCCAATGAAAGGAGCGCTTCTATCGCCGCTCGTCATGGCGCCGGAGCGGCCGCTGTGCTGCCCTCTTCAC